AAAGAACCAGTCAGAATTGAAGAATGCAGTAACTGAAATGAAGAGCACATTATAGGGAATTAACAGTGAAGCAGAGGATTGAATCAGTGACTTGGAAGATAAGGTAGCAGAAAACACACAATCAGACCAGCAAAAAAGAAAAAAGGATTAAAAAAAATGAGGACAATTAAAGGGTCCTCTAGGACAACATCGAGTGTACCAACATTTGCATTCTAGAGGTACTGGAAGGAGTAGAGACAGAGCAAGGAACTGAAAACCTATCTGAATAATGATAGAAAACTTCCCTCACCTGGTAAAGGAAAAAGATATACAAGCCTGGGAAGCACAGAATCCCAAACAAGATGAACCCAAAGTGGCCCAAACTAAGACATATAATTAAAATGCTAAAGGTTAAAGACAAAGAGTCTTTTAAAAAAATACATTTTTATTGATTTTAGAGAGAGGGAGAGGGACAAAGAATAGGAACATTGACGAGAGAGAGGCATTGATTAGCTGCTTCCTGCAGGCCTCCTTCTGGGGATTGAGCTTGCAACCTGGACATGTGCCCACAACCAAGATACATGCCCCTGACTGGAATCGAACCTGGGACCTTTCAGTCCACAGGCTGACGCTCTACCACTGAGCAAAACTGGCTTCGGCAATAAAATATATTTTTAAAAAATATATATTTTTATTGATTTCAGAGAGGAAGGGAGAAGGAGAGATAGAATTATCAATATATATATATGTATAATTTCCCAGATAGAAAAATCTAAAGGAGTTCATCACCACCAAACTAGTATTTTAAGAAACTAGAGGCCCAAGAGTATGAAATTCATGCCCTTGGAGAGGGGTCCTCTCAGCCTGGCCTGCACTCTGTCTGGGAGCCCTCAGGGGACGTCTGATTAATGGCGCAGGCCTGCTCCCTTGGGCAGTCTTAGCTCTGCCATGGAGGTGGGAAAGGCTCCCACCACACCATTGCGCTCACCAGCCATGAGTCCGGATTCTGGCTGAGTGACACTCTCCCTGTGGGAGCACACTGACAACCAGGGGGCAGCTTCTGCATTGAGCGTCTGCCTCCTGGTGGTCAGTGCATGGCATAGCGACCAGTTGTTCTGCTGTTCGATTTGCATATTATCCCTTTATTATATAGGATTACTATATAGGATGTTAAAGGGACTTTTTCAAGAAGGAAAAAAAAAAAAAGGATAAAGAATATGAATAATAGTCCTGGTTGGTTTTCTAAGTGGTTAGAGCATTGGCCCTGACACTACACTTGATCTTAGCCAAAAGGCTGAGACACAATGAGCTTTGGCCCTGAGATGGAAGGATTTCAGGTTCAATTCCTGGTTAACAGGACATACCTGGCTTGCAAGTTTCCATCCCTGGCCCAGTCAGGGCACATGTGAGAGGCAACCAATTGATATGTCTCTCTCACATCAATGTTTCTTTCTCTCTCTCTCTCTTCTTTTCTAAAAAAACAATGAAAAAAATATCCTCAGGTGAGTACCAATAGTAATAATAATAATAATAATAACAACAATTATAATAAATGGCAAAAGCTACATATCTATCAACACTACTTTATTTTATTTCTTATTTTTATTTTTTAAAATATATTTTATTGATTTTGTACAGAGAGGAAGGGAGAGAGATAGAAAGCTAGAAACATCGTTGAGAGAGAGCCATCGATCAGCTGCCTCTTGCACACCCCCTACTAGGGATATGCCCGCAACCAAGGTACATGCCCTTGACCAGAATCGAACCTGGGATCCTTCAGTCCCCAAGCCAACGCTCTATCCATTGAGCCAAACAGGTCTCGGCAACACTACTTTAGATGGAGTAAATGCTCCAATTAAAAGATATAGAGTGGTTGAAATGATAATAAAACAAGACCCTTACAGATGCTGTCTGCAAGACTCACTTCAGATTGAAAAATACATAAAGACTGAAAGTAAAGGGATGGAAAAGATATTTCATGAAAATGGGGAGGGAGGGCGCAGGGAAGCTGAAATAGTAATATTTATACCAGACAAAACAGACTTTGAAACAAAGGCTATAACAAGAGACAAAGAAGGTCCCAGCAATTCTACTTCTGGGTATTTATTCAAAGAAATCCAAACCACTAAATTGAAAAGATACATACATCTATGTTTATTTCAGCATTATTTATAATAGATAAGACATTGAAGCCACCTAAGTGTCCATCAAAAGATGAACAAAAGAAGTGGGGCATATGTACAATGAAATATAGCTCAGCCATAAGAAAGAATGAAATCTTGCCCTCTGCAACAACATGGATGAAACTAGATAGAGAGCATTGTGCTGAGTGAAATAAGTCAACAGGGAAAGACAAATACCATATGATTTCACTTATATGTGGTTATCTAAAAAAAACCCCCAAATAAATGAATCCTATCTAATAAAAGAGTAATATGTAAATTGACAGTCACTCCAAGACACAATATGGCTGCCCCCATGCGGATACAAGATGGCTGACAGGGGAGGGCAGTTAGGAGCAATCAGGCTGGCAGGCAGGTGAGTGGTTGGAAGCCAGCAGATTGGGAGAGGGATCCCAGATTGGAGAGGGCACAAGCTGGGCTGAGGCAACCCCCACCCCCCATGCACGAATTTCCTGCACCGGGCTTCTAGTAAATAAAATAAAAACAAACATAGAGAGAATTTTGACAGTTGCCAGCTGGGGCATGTGTGAGGGTTGGAAGAATGGGTGAAAAAGGAGAAAGGATTAAATAGTGCAAATGTGTAGTTACAAAATAGTCATAGCATAGTAAAAAATAAATCTACTTTGGTGGAAGAAAATTTATGAAATCCTGAGTTCTGAAAACTCTATTTATAAAGATGATTTAAACACTTAATAACCTTTCACTAATTATTTTAACAAATTTTAATTTACATCTTAATTGCTAGGCACTATTCTTTTTTTTTTTAATATATATTTTATTGATTTTTCACAGAGAGGAAGAGAGAGGAATAGAGAGTTAGAAACATCAATGAGAGAGAATCATCGATCAGCTGCCACTTGCACACCCCCTACTGGGGATGCGCCTGCAACCAAGGTACATGCCCTTGACAGGAATCGAACCCGGGACCTTTCAGTCTGCAGCCGACACTCTATCCACTGAGCCAAACCGGTCCTGGCAGCTAGGCACTATTCTAAAATAGTGAGGATACAGTTGTGAAAAATTAGTCTTGTTCTCAGAAAGCCTACATTTTTGTAGAAGGAGACAGATAATAAATATATAAACAATTTTAAAAGTACAGATATATAATTTCAGAAAGTTTTAAGGCTGCGGCACAGAGTACTTGGAATGTAAGGCTGCTGCTTCTCTTGCTTAAGTGGCCTTGAACTGATACTACCATGCCTCACTTTACACCTATGCAGTCTATCAAATTATTACTAAGGTTTTAGTACAGGCCATAAGTAAAGACCAGCAAAAACAAACTCATAAAGGTAAAAAAGTGATGACAGCATTCTATATGTGTTTTCCACATATAGCAACACTATTAGCAACACTATTCATTAGTCATTTTTAGCTTTTTATAATTCACTAGAGGCTCGGTGCATGACATTCGTGCACCTGGGGGTGAGGAGAAAGGCGTGTCTGTTCATCAGCCTGGCCTGCACCCTTTCGCAGTCTGACTGATGGCTTAGGCCTGCTCTCCAGTCATATACACTCAATGCTGCTATAGAGGTGGGCTGATATGCTCCCCCTGGGGGAACACACTGACCACCAAGGGGCAGCTCCTGTGTTGAGCATCTGCTCCCTGGTGGTCAGTACGCATCATAGTGACTGGTTGTTTCGCCGTTTGGACAATTTGCAATTACCCTTTTATTATATAGGGCCAGAGGCCTGGTGCATGAAATTTCTGCTGCCCCCCCCCTCCCCCCGTGGCCTGGTCGCCCCTAATCATCCCCCGCTGCCAGCCAGGTTGCCCCAACTGTCTTCTCCCTGCCAGCCTGGTCGCTCCTAACTGCCCCCGCTGCCCGCCAGCCTGGTCACCTCCCACTGCCTCACTCTGCTGGCCTGGTTGCCCCTCACGGCCCCCCTGCCGGCCTATGCAACCTGCTGTTCAGTCGTTTGGTCGTCCCTCACTAACCCCCAGCCCTGCTGGCCTGTTCATAGGCAGCCATCTTGTGAGGGCGTGAGAGTTACTTTGCATATTACCTTTTTATTATATAGGATGATATAGCTAGCATTCTCTACAATTTCTATTTATAAAAGACCATATGACAGTACCACATATCACATTTATGCTTGTGAAAGTACCCATGCAATTGTTTTTGCCAGCACAATGAATGAAGAAATTTTTAAAGCTCAACTGCTTCAATCTCTCTTTCTGCACTAAAATAGTTTTTTTTTTCTTCTCTAAAATAGTTTTTAGGCAGGGAAGGAAGGAGAAAAATTAAGTGTGATCAGCACGAAGGTCAGTTAAACAGATTAAGAGTCAATAATTAAACCAAAGGTAAACTAGAATTCTTTAGCTCAAGCATCTCCCTGAATTCTCCAGAAGGCTTCAGAAGATTCCAAACTCAAATTTAAGAAACATTAATCAATTTTATAAACCTTATTTTTCCTTAAAAAAAAATGCTTTTATTGATTTCAGAAAGGAAGGGAGAGGGAAATAGAAACAATGATGAGAGAGAATCACTGATCGGCTGCTCCTACATGCCCTCTACTGGGGATCGAGGCAGCAACCCAGGCAACCGAACAACCACTGAGTAAGGCCAGGCTAACCTTGTTTCTTAAGAAGTTCACAATTTAGGATGAAAATCAATGTCCCATGTAGTGACATGATATACTGTCATTTCTTCAATTAATCTACTCAAATTCTACTGAAATACTGCCCTGCCATTGAAAAAGTGTCACTTTAAACTGCCTTTCTTGAAAGATAATAACATTATAAAAGAAGACCATAAGCTTTTAAAACTACTCCCTACCTTTTCCAATGATTCTTTAAAAATATGCCTTGATTACTACTTTAATAAAATCAATACTCACATCTTGATTATATTCCAAGAAGACATGGAAATTTAAATCTTTTCTCAAAATAGGATGTGCTGCCACACGACACAGGAATACTTCATGCATTGCCACAGTCTTCTTGAATATTGCCAAGTATTCACTAGAAACAATACACAAAATTAAAGGTAAAACACTGCATCATTTAGAAAATCATCTGCATATTTTCAGCTAATAATCTTTAAATTATTCTAAATGCAAAATTAGAGATATAATCCAAGTAAACAAAGGTCTTAGTTGAACTGTTAATATTATAAAACCCAGCTCTGAAAAGACTTCATGCTAGTTAGTAATATTTATTAAAGTTAAATGTTAATATTTTGGGTTTTATGAACCTTTCTTCCTATGCAAGTTGATTTTAAAGGTAACTATAGGGGTATTTATTTTCAGCTTCAGAGAAAGTATACTACGAATAATTGGTACAATTTTACTGATTCAGTTTCTAGATTTAATTACTACTTTTAAACAACTTCATACAAAAAAAAAAATCAAAACCCAAATCTAAGTAAGCATATTTTCAACATTAATACATATTTTCTTCTAATTACCTAGAAACACAAGAAACAAACACACCATAGACTACTTTTTACCATTACATAGGAGAACTGTGTTTAAAATATTTTAATATCAGCAAATCACAGCCATCATACAGTAATACATGTCAGTTTGAAAAAAAACCCCACAACACTTAAGGAAAAGGACCAATATTCTTGCTTCAACTATGTGCAAGGAGGATAAGTTTTACATACCAGCAACCAGCAGGACCAATGTTGGGAGAAGTTTGATCTCAGTGAGGGTAGTCATTCAGTGAAGACAAAAAAGAAGGATGCAGAGGATGGAGGTAGCAGTAGAATAAACCCAAGGTTCTCTGTTATCCAACCCCTAACCAGACCACAAAAGAATCATGATCAGGGCCACTGGAAAACCACAGATTCTTCAATATTAATGTACTCTGCTAATTTCCAGTTTTCAGTCTTATAAACTATAAAAACTATGTAACTTTTATCAGACTATTGCTTGCATCCAGCATTGACAGAATTCTTAAAATATCTGTCACCGTATAGTTTGACAAAGAAGAGCTACTTTGCATTTCATCTTGTCAAGAATTTAGTATTCTGAAAAGGACTCTAGCAGCAGTGTGAAAATAGGCATAACTGAATCTAAGTGGGAGAGGAGAAAGGAAAAGCATGAAGGGGAGAAATAACCAGAAAAAGAATGATGAGAGGGATGACAATGCAAGGAAAATTATTTCCTTGTAAAATTTTCAAAATACAGAAAAACAACATACAGCAAATCCAAAATTACTTCAAATATTTAATAAAAGGAAAAGTATTTTGTATTTTCAACAAATATGCTAAAAATGAAATGGAAAGCCAACCAGCATGGCTTAGTGGTTGAGTGTTGACCTTGAATCAAGAGATCACAGTTCGATTCCCAGCCTGGGCACATGTGAAGGTGTGTGGGGCATGTAGGAGGCAGCCAACCAATGATTCCCTCTCATCATTGATGTTTCTTTCTCTTTCCCCCTTCCTCTCTGAATAACAATTTTTAAAAAAAGGAAGTATCTCAAATTTTCAAAGATTTAATACATATATACATTTAGTTTCACATATACATTTCTAGTATATATGGAACTAATTATCATATAACAAAAAACATTTTCTTTTCTAAATATATTTTATTGACCTTTTTACAGAGAGGAAGGGAGAGAGAGACAGAATCAGAAACATCGATGAAAGAGAAACATCGATCAGCTGCCTCCTGCACATCCCCCACTGGGGATGGACCCACAACCAAGGTACGTACATGCCCTTGACCGGAATCGAACCCGGGTCCCCCAGTCCGCAGGCCGATGCTCTATCCACTGAGTCAAACCAGCTTTGGCACAAAAAACATTTTTTAAACTACTTTTTTGTTACTTTCCTCCTATTTTAGTCTCTTCAGCCTGAGACTGAGGGGAAAATAGACGGAAAAGGGGGGAAAATCTCTGTCTCTCACATGCACACACACTTAAAAAATAGGATATATGCAGAATTGGGGCATACTTCTAAGAGAAACAGAAATTTTGGTAGTATGTACATATCGAAAAAAGATCATCAGGTTGCCCTAGGTGATTTGGCTCAGTGGACAGAGTGCTGGCCTACAGACTGAAGGGTCCTAGTTCAAGTCTGGTGAAGGGCACATGCCCGGCTTACAGGCTCAATTCCCGATGGGGGGTGTGCAGGAGGCAGCCGATCAATGATTCTCATCACCGATGTTCCTCTCTCTCTCCCCCCCTTCCTCTCTGAAATCAATAAAAATATATTTTTAAAAAATCACCAGGTTGCTAATGACTAAGATCTTATAAATAAAAAACAAAAGTTTATTTTGCTTTAAAAAGTCATTATTTTTCATAAACTTTGGACCCTCCATTACTAATTTTCAGTTCTGTTTGAACCAATAATTTAAAGAATTTTACAATGTATATAATTATTCTATAATTTTCCTGTAGGCTCTGATCATGACTGTTAACACTGGTTGTGTGACTTAAGCTTGCATCTTCCAGAAAGGGTCACTGTGGTGAAATGATTAAAAGGAAGGAATATTGGAGAGTGCACACACACAAAAATAAATAAAATTAAAAAGGGCATTAAACAAGCACAATTAACAGAAGCAACAAAAATCACATACGCTTCCAGTTCCTGTTTCATCTTTGTGAATTCCTCCTTCGTCATGGACCCTTCTCCTTCTCCAAGCTTCTGTAGTTTTTCCCTTGAGGCATCAAAATCAGGTCTTGGTGGTGCTGGTGGGATCTGTAACAGAACCAAATCACTACCTTTAATGACTATTTTATTTCTTGCAGTAGTTGTACTATAGCTACCATTTGTAAATGAGAAGAGGGCACCAGTAATATCCCAAGTCAGGGATTTTATTTGGTCTAGAAATTCAAATCCTTGAAACCATTTATACCAAGAAAGAAATACAGCAAGGCATTATTTTCTAGTAATAGAATAGTAGTTTGGCCGAAACCGGTTTGGCTCAGTGGATAGAGCGTCGGCCTGCAGACTGAAAGGTCCCAGGTTTGATTCCAGTCAAGGGCAGGTACCTTGGTTGCGGGCACATCCCCAGTAGGCAGTGTGCAAGAGGCAGCTGATCGATGTTTCTAACTCTCTATCCCTCTCTCTTCCTCTCTGTAAAATATCAATAAAATATATTTTTAAAAAAATAAATAGAATAGTAGTTTGTATAGGTACTTTAAGCTCTGATCACACACTAAATAAATATGTATAGCAAATATATATATCATTTTCAAAAGTATGTAAATGGTATAATTAAATACAAATACATTTTTTTAAATTAATGAATTCAAAGTACCTTTATCTTATCCTGTGTTTTTAAAAATTAATGAATGCTAACAGTAAGATCAAGCAAGGGATATTAAAGTGGGTTCCTGGATTGGAGCAGTGTACCAGAAGTAGAAAACACTGGCTTAAAAACAGGAAGAGAACAGGACACACTAATCTCATTCTATTCACTCTCAGTAAGGAGATAAGCAAGCACTTACTTTAACTAGAAGAGAAATATCATTCAAGAAAGGATATAAGAAAAAAGGAGGAGGGGCCTAAAAGAACTGTTAAGGGGAAATGATGGAAATTAAAGAGAGCAGGCAAGGTACGAGGAAGAAAAAAAAAAAAAAAAAAAAAAGAGTGCTAGAAAATGATTATATCAAGGAAAACAATAGGGAAAGAAGCATCAAGTATAGTCAAGCACATGTTTGTTCATGCTTGCACATAGCATCTACTAAGTGCCAGGCATGATGCTGAGCAATGGACATAAGAAAATATGTCCAGTCTTTTTTTTTTTTTTAATTTTTTAAATTTTTAAAAAATATATTTTATTGATTTTGTACAGAGAGGAAGGGAGAGAGATAGAGAGTCAGAAACATCGATGAGAGAGAGAGTCATTGATCAGCTGCCTCTTGCACACCCCCCAGCGGGGATATGCCCGCAACCAAGGTACATGCCCTGACCGGAATCGAACCCGGGACCCTTCAGTCCCCAAGCCGACACTCTATCCATTGAGCCAAACCGGTCTCGGCTATCCAGTCTTTTTTAAAAAAAATTATTTTAGCCAAAATCGGTTTGGCTCAGTGGATAGAGCGTCGGCCTGCGGACTGAAAGGTCCCGGGTTCGATTCCGGTCAAGGGCATGTACCTGAGTTGCGGGCACATCCCCAGTAGGGGGTGTGCAAGAGGCAGCTGATCGATGATTCTCTCTCATCGATGTTTCTAACTATCTATCCCCCTCTCTTCCTCTCTGAAAAATCAATAAAATATATTAAAAAAAAAAAAAGATATTTTATTGATTTTGTAAAGATAGGAAGGGAGAGAGATAGAGAGTTAGAAACATCGATGAGAGAGAGTCATCGATCAGCTGCCTCTTGCACACCCCCCACTGGGGATGTGCCCGCAACCAAGGTACATGCCCTTGACCGGAATCAAACCCGGGACTTTTCAGTCTCCAAGTCGATGCTTTATCCACTGAGCCAAACCGATCTCGGCAAAATATGTCCAGTCTTAATCTTTGAAGAGTAAAGGAGACAGTAATAAGAAAATGCCATCAGATAAGAAGATGAGAGGGGGAAAAGGTAGAAATAGGACAGGAAGAGAAGAGGAGCTTCCAGGTTGGTGAACATAATTGACATGCTGGGAAGGGGGAAGGAGGGGTACCTGGAGAAGGCCTGAAAGCTCTGTGCCCACCCCACATCCCCATACCTTGTCCTCTAGATGTCTTCCATTTGGTTGTTCCTGAGTTGAATGCTTTCTATAAACTGGTAATTGTAAACAACAACAACAACAACAACAACAACCCCCAAAAGAATGTACTGCCAATTGTAGAAAGAGGAGCAAATGACTAAGGAGTGGTCATGAGAATGAAGATGGAATCAAGTCAGGATGATTTCAATGGCATTTGAGTGTGGTTAACAGCTAAGGTACAACATATGGTACATATATAGATTAGATAATCTCTTAAACAGCCTCCAACTCAAAATTTAATCTACTTAACCTAAGGGTTCAAAACTAGTATGGTTTGTAACACTCCCTTAATGAATCCCTAGGATAGGCCTGTTACAATTTCAATAGATAGTAAGAATTAAAGTTTAAAGGAGGTAGCATGACATATCCACACTCCCATACTCCTATACAAGACAATTCAGGATTAAAGGTGGTAACCAATTATGTTTTGTAACTGGAAATTTTTGAAAATTACATTAGTTCATTAAAAATGCTAAATAAGATTTCAACACAAAGTATCTAAAACACTCCTAAAAATAAGATTAAAATGGAACCTCAACACTTACAATGTAACCTGCATAGTCTTCATTTTCAACAAAGGAATCATGAAGCCAGATAAATTCCTCATGTTGTCGAACGACAGAAAACTCATTTTGTTTAAAATTTGGCAATGAACTCTGCAAAGACAAAAATTCTCTTGAATAAAAATTAAAATTACACTAAAAAGCTTTAAATAAACATTTCATTCCAAGCTCCATCTCTATGCAAATGCCATTGTTTTGTTTTTTTTCAACGACTCATGTTGTAAGTCACTTTTAATTCCACACCCGAGGATATGTTTTTTATTGATTTTTTTCCCCCCCAAAGAAAGAAATAGAGGGATGTGGGGAGGGAGAGAAGGAGACACCAGAGGAAGAAGCATCAATCTGTTGCCTCCTAACTGGACTGGGGATCAAACCTGACTGGGGATCAAACCTGAAACCTTTTGGTGTATATGGAACTATGCTCCAACTAACTGGCTTCTAGGCTAGGGTGTAAGTTACCTTTCATAGCCTGTGTAAAACTCACCCGGCCAGTGTGATTCAGTGGTTGAGCGTTGACCTATGAACTAGGTTATGGTTTGATTCCCCATCAGGGCACAAAGCCCAGGTTGTGGGCTCAGTCTCCAGTGTGGGGTCTGCAGGAGGCAGCTGATCAATATTCTCTCTCATCACTGATGTTTCCTATCTCTCTCTCCCTTCCTCTCTGAAATCAATAAAAATATCTTTGAAAAATAAAATAACACATGATTAAAAAATTGTGTAAAAGATTTCTAATTAGATATAGACATGTATGTTTTAGTTCCTTCCATAAACATGATTTATATAAATAATGTTGAGAAACCCTAAGAGGCAAACTCCTCAGCAAATTCTTAAGTATCAAATACAATGCAAGATTGCAAGCCAGTTAAAAATCTTAGAAATGTTGCCGAAACCGGTTTGGCTCCATGGTAGAGCATCGGTCTGCGGACTGAAAGGTCCCAGGTTCAATTCTGGTCAAGGGCATGTACATTGGTTGCGGGCACATCCCCGGTAGGGGGTGTGCAAGAGGCAGCTGGTCGATGTTTCTCTCTCATTGACGTTTCTAGCTCTCTATCCCTCTCTCCTCCTCTCTGTGAAAAATCAATAAAATATATTTAAAAAAAAATAATAAAAATCTTAGAAATGTTATAGTCTCTTTAGGGAGAAAAAAGTCATTATAATGTCTGCTTATCACTGTGACTCACTTGGTTTTGACTACCCATGCAATTCATATAGTGGATTTTGTTAGTGCTATGCACTAAATATTCCTAGCATATAGCAGAATTGCACAATGTGCCTCCTTTAGAAAAAAAAACAAAAAAACTTCAAATTTCATTTTTCAATTACTGTTTATATTCATTATTATTTTATATTAGTCTCGGGGATATAGCATAGTGGTTAAACAATCATATATACTTTACAAAGTGTTCCCCTGATATTTTTAGTGCCCACCTGGCACCATACATGTTAATTACAATATTACTGACTACACTAGAGGCCCAATGCATGAAATTCGTGCAAGGGGCTCGGCCTTGAAGCCGCGGTGGCTTGCCTTAGCCCTCACAGCCCCGGCTTCATCTGGAAGGTTGTCCGGCTGTCCGGTCTAATTAGCATATTATGCTTTAATTATTATAGTTTCCCTATGCTGTACTTTTACATTCCCATGACTATTTTGTAACTACCAATTTGTACTTAATCCCTTCACCTTTTCACAGAGGCCCTCAACATTCATTCCCTCTGGCAACCTTCAGTTTGTTCTCTGTGTTTATGAGTCTCTCTCAATTTTTATTTATTTTTTTCTTTAGATTTCACATATAAGTGAAATCATGTGACTTATTTCTCTGACTTATTTCATTTAGCACACAAGTCGGCAAAGTCATTAGTCAACAGAGACAAATAACAATACAACAATTGAAATTAAAAAAAAAATTTTATTGATTTTTTATAGAGAGGAAGAGAAAGGGATAGTTAGAAACATCGATGAGAGAGAATCATCAATCAGCTGCCTCTTACACAACCCCTACTGGGAACGTGCCCGCAACCAAGGTACATGCCCTGGAATCAAACCCAGGACCTTTCAGTCTGCAGGCCGACGCTCTATCCACTGAGCCAAACCGGTTTCGGCTGAAATTTCTTTTGAGAGCCACTTCTTCAAAATAGACTTGCCCAGGCGGAAAACTGACTTTTGCACATGGGCCACGAAATTTCAATCGCATTGTATGTGTGAGTGCCCGCAAATGGTATTTCGTGGAAGAGCCACACTCAAGGGGCCAAAGAGCCGCATGTGGCTCGTGAGCCGAGGTTTGCACAATACGTTCTAGGTCCATCCATTCTGCTGCAAATAATTAAGATTTCATTCTTTTTATGACTCATTTTTTTAATGATATATTTTATTGATTTTTTACAGAGAGGAAGGGAGAAGGATAGATAGAGAGCTAGAAACATCGATGAGAGAGAATCATCCATCAGCTGCCTCCTGCACACCCCCTACCAGGGATGTGCCTGCAACCAATGTACATGCCCTTGATCGGAATCGAACCTGGGACCTTTCAGTCTGCAGACCGATGCTCTATTCACTGAGCTAAACCAGTTTCGGCTTATGACTCATTCTTAATATTAATCTTTAAAAAAATATATTTCCTAAAAAAACAAAAAACAAAACATAATTCCATTTACCATTGCAACAACAACAACAAAAAAGATACCTACGAATAAATACTAAGGAGGTAAAAGACCTGTACTCCAAAAACTACAGGACACTGAAAAAAGATGGAGCAAGATATAAACAAGTGGAACAATATACCGTGTTTGTGGATTGGTAGAATCAACATCATTAAAATGTCCATACTACCCAAAGCAAACTATAGATTCAATGCAATTCCCATTAAAATACCAACAGCATATTTTACAGAGCTAGAAAAAACTCCGGAAAAATTTATATGGAATAAAAAAGACCCTGAATAACTGCAGCAATCCCAAGAAAGAACAACAAAGTTGGAGGATCACAATACCAGATATCAAGCTATGCTACAAAGCCACTGTCCTCAAATCTGCCTGGTACTGCCGAAACCGGTTTGGCTCAGTGGATAGAGCGTCAGCCTGCAGATTCAAGGGTCCTGGGTTTGATTCCGGTCAATGGCATGTGCTTTGGTTGCGGGCACATCCCCAGTAGGGGCTGTGCAGGAGGCAGCTGATCGATGATTCTCTCATGGATGTTTCTAATTCTCTATCCCTATCTCTTCCTCTCTGTAAAAAATCAATAAAAACAAACAACAAAAGAAAAAACTGCCGGTACCGGTTTGGCTCAGTGGTAGAGCGTCGGTCTGCGGACTGAAAGGTCCCAGGTTCGATTCCGGTCAAGGGCATGTACCTTGGTTGTGGGCACATCCCCAGTAGGGGCTGTGCAGGAGGCAGCTGATCGATGATTCTCTCTCATCGACGTTTCTAGCTCTCTATCCCTCTCTCTTCCTCTCTGTGAAAAATCAATAAAAATATATTAAAAAAAAAAGAAAAAAGAAAAAAAAAAACTGCCTGGTGATGGCACAAGAACAGACATACAGACCAATGAAACAGAAGAGAACCCAGAAATCGACTCAAGCCATTAATGCTCAATTAAAATTTAAGTAGGTGATAGCATACAATGGAGTCAAGAGAGTCTCTTCAAAAAATGGTGCTGGGAAAATTAGATACATGCAAAAATTTGAAACTAGACCACCAACTTATACCATACACAAAAATAAACTCAAAATGGATAAGACTTAAATGTAAGACAGGAAATCATAAAAATCTTAGAAGAATCCATAGGCAGCAAAATATCAGACATATGTCATAGCAGTATCTTTACTGACATATTACCTAACATAATGGAAACTAAGATAAAATAAACAAATGCAAGTATATAAAAATAAAAAGCTTCTGCACCGCAAAAGAAACCCTCAACAAAACAAGAGAGCCGACCACATGGGAGAACATATTCGCCAATGTTATTTTGGATAAGGTGTTAATCTCCAAAATATATAGGGAACTCATATAACTTAACAAAAGGAAGACAAACAATCCAATAAAAAAATGGGCAAAGGACCACTTTTTGAAAGTGGACATACAGGCCAACAGACATAGGAAAGAATGCTCAAAGTCACCAATCATCCAAAAGATGAAAATCAAAACGATGATGAGGTACCGTCTCACACCTGTCAGAATGGCTATCATCAACAAATCAACAAACAAGTGCTGGCGAGGATACAGAGAAAAAGGAACCCTGGTACACTGCTGGTGGGAATGCAGACTAGTGCAGCCACTATGGAAAACAGTATGGAGTTACCTCAAAAAAATTAAAAATGGAACTCCCATTTGACCCAGTAATCCCACTTCTATGAATATATCCCAAGAATTTAGAAACACCAATCAGAAAGAATATATGCACCCCTATGTTCATAGCAGCACAATTAACTATAGCTAAGATTTGGAAACAGCCTAAGTGCATATCAGCAGATGACTGGTTTAAAAAACTGTGGTACACCTACACAATTGAATACAATGCTGCTGTAAAAAAAAAAAAGAACTCTTACCATTTGCAATCCTAGGATGAATCTAGAGAGCTTTATGCTAAGTGAAATAAGCCAGTTGGAGAAAGGTAAATATCACATGATCTCACTCATTTGTGGAATATAATGAACAACATAAACTGATAAACGAAAATAGATACAGAGCCCTAGGTGGTTTCGCATCGGCCTGCAGACTGAAAGGTCCCTGGTTCAATTCCAGTCAGGGACACATGCCCAGGTTGCAGGCTTGATTCTCGGTGTGAGGTTTGTAGGAGGCAGCTGATCAATGTTTCTCTCCCTCTCCCTCTCTGAAATCATTAAAAATATGTTTAAAAAATAGATAAAGAGAAACAGAAGCATCAAACAGACTGTCAAAGCTCAGGGGGGAAAGCTCAAGTCCTATGGTTGATCTCTTACAGGTTAAGAGATCAACCAAAGGACTTGATGAATGCATATAAGTATAGCCAATGGACACAGACAGTAGCGAGGTGAGGGCATGTGCTGGGGGGTGGGAGAGATCAATGGGGAGGAAAAAAAGGAGACATATATAATACTTTCAACAATAAAGAATAAAAAAAAATACATTTCCCTAAAACATTTTTGTTAAAATAGCACCAGTGAATTATAAACAAAACAAAAAAACGCAACACACACACACACACAGTTTCATTCTATGTTCAAAACCAAAGTTCTAGTCAATATATTATATATGTAATGTTAGTACAATAAATACCTAAAATAATATAAGCATAAAATCACATTTACCTTTGTGTGAACAGTGAATTTTACTTTATCTCTTTCACTAAGAGCATCAGAAATGTCCACTTGCAGAGCAGCATCGCTTTGAAGATCTACATTTATTGCTTTAAGCTAGAAAAAGAAAATAACACCTTAATAAAAATTCTGTGGGCTTTTATGATTTCATTCTTCTTCCAGATAGATAATGCAAAAACAAAACTAAAGTAACAAAAGACTTTTATATTTAAAAAATACTCAATTTCATTTAATCTACATACATTTTGGGCAGTTACTTTGGGTATGCTATTATCCTAATTTTCATCTACACCATTCAACTATGCTCTTTATGAGTTAATGTATTAACTATAATTGATTCTTTAGTTTTACCCCAAAAGCAAACTATCTTCCAAGATGTTTCATTAAATTTCAAATGTTTTAAAATTAAGGAATGTATCCACTTTTAAGAACATGAAAAATAATAAAAATAATGGCCAACAATTTTGAATCTATTATTTTATTTTTAATATATTTTTATTGATTTTTTACAGAGAGGAAGGGAGAGGGATAGAGAGCTAGAAACATCGATGAGAGAGAGTCATCGATCAGCTGCCTCTTGCACACCCCCTACTGGGGATATGCCCACAACCAACGTACATGCCCTTGGTCGGAATCGAACCCAGGACCCTTTAGTTCCCAAGCCGACGCTCTATCCATTGAGCCAAACCGGTCCCGGCGTCCACTAACAATTCTTAAGTTTCATTAATTTTTCTTCTGCTTTAAACAAATAAGCATTCTAACATCGTTGGAAAGTTTGGAGACTTATAAAAGAATCAAATATACTAAAAGAGAAAATAAATCTCAGCCAGATGCAAAGATATGAAGTATTTAAAGTCTAATTATCTAGCCTACTTCAAACACTCTAGTTGTAAAACCTAGAACTTACTTTGTCAATCTCACTTAGTCACTGGCATTTCAAATTTCATTTATAATGTAAATGGAAAAAATGCTGGAAACAAAATTGTTTGTACTTTAGGATTACAATTATATTTGAAAAAATCCTATATAATAAAAGCATAATATGCAAATCAACTGAACAGCAGAATGACTGGTGGTCAGGGGGCAGGATCAGCGAGCAGGCAGCACCATGCTAGCCAAGGTTGTGCCAGAGTGCATAGGGAGGGGACAGTGATGGGGTTGGCAGCTACCAGCTGCAGTGGAGGGTTGACTGGAGAGGGGGAGCAGGGCTAGCCACACGCCCACAAGCTAATCAGACCGAGTATGCAAATAAACCCAACCAAGATGGCTACAGTCACAGAGAGCAGGAGGGAGGCTTGGGTTTCCCCGGCAATGGAGGTAGCCAAGTTTTCCACACACACTGGCGGGCCCAGGCCTCTACTCAAGGCTACAAAGTTTCGATTATAGGAGGTAAACAAATCCAAACAGAAATGGCAGCAGCCAAGGAGCAAGCAGGAGGCTTGACTCCGCTCCAGGCTACAAAGTTTCAATTGTAGAAGGTAAATAAACCCCAGATACCAGGGCCTCCACTTGGGTCGCGAGGGGGCGTGGCTGGTGTGCAAACCATCACAGGCTCCTCACTTAGGCCGCCCCACACCCCAAGGGAACCCCACACTGATCTGGAACACCCTTCAGGGCAAACCAGCTGGCTCCCACCCGTGTACCAGGCCTCTATCCTATCTAATAAAAGAGTAATATGCAGACTGACCATCATTCCAACACACACTATGGCTACCCCCATGTAGACATAAGATGGCCACCACAATATGGCCAGCAGGGGAGGGTAGTTGGGGGTGACCAGGCAGAGGAGGGAAGTTGGGGGCAAACAGGCTAGCAGGGGAGCAGTTAGACATCAATCAGGCTGGCATGGGAGTGGTTAGGGGGTGATCAGGCTGGCAGGCAGAAGCAGTTAGGAGAAATCAGGAAGACAGGCAAAGGAGCAGTTGGGAGCTAGCCGTCCTGGATTGTGAGAAGAAAGTCCAACTGTCCGTTTAAGGGGATTGGGCCTAAATGGGCAACCAGACGTCCCTTGAGGGGTCCCAGATTGGAGAGGGTGCAGGACACACCCTTACTCCTGTGCACCAGGCCTCTAGTTAATACATATAGAATCAATTCAACCATCAACTTTTTTTACAATTTGAGGTGCTGAAGGTGGATAGAGAAAAGTCATAATTTGCAACTGGGATTTGCAACTAGACCATACCAGAAACAATAATACATTACAAGAGTAGTACTAATGGTGTCTTGCTATGCGTTCCTTCTAGGTTGAAGTTATATTACTGGTAGTACGCATCTAAACTTTTACTCTTTAGACAACATACTAATATGCATTTATTCAATAAACTTTTTGTTTTTTTAGCACTTACATGCAAATCACTGTCCTAGGCCTTAGGTGGAGGTTATGAGGTGAACAAAAAAACCTTGCCTTCAAGAAATTTGTAGCCTAAACCAGTTTGGCTCAGTGGTAGAGCGTCGGTCTGCGGACTCAAAGGTCCCAGGTTCGACTACGGTCAAGGGCATGTACATTGGTTGTGGGTACATCCCCGGTAGGTGGTGTGCAGGAGGCAGCTGGTCGATGTTTTTCTCTCATCGACGTTTCTAGCTCTCTATCTCTCTCCCTTTCTCTCTGTAAAAAAATCAATAAAATATATACATATATAAAAGAAACTTGTAGTAGTGAGGAAGACAATATTTATACTAATAAAAGGGTAATATGTTAATTAGATCAGATATTTTCTAGACAACCTTCTGGACAAAGCCATGGTGGTGGGGCTGAGGCAGAGACGGTTAGGGGCAATCAGGCCAGCCTGGGAGAGCAGTTAGGGGATCAGGCTGGCAGGCAGATGAGCGGTTAGGACCCCTGAGGGGTCCTGGATTGGAGAGGGTACTCCCCACCCCGTGCATGAATATTGTGCAATGGGCAGCTAGTTATGTAATAAATCGCTCTTCCAGATTATACTGTGTATAATCTGATGTTATCAATCCCTCCAGTCCTGTAACTTTTCCATATATTTCCAGTCTGTTAGCCTCCTTGCTACTTTCTTACTTTTCCAATCCACTCCTATGTCACAAATATCTTTCCAATACCTTTCTTACTGGTCATGTCAACTCAAATTGGTCTTGTGCCATATCTGGTTTGCAAATTTCCACACTCAGGATCTAATTTATTTCCTTCCTTCCTTCCTTCCTTCCTTCCTTCCTTCCTTCCTTCCTTCCTTCCTTCCTTCCTTCCTTCCTTCCTTTTTAGAAAGAGGGCGAGGGAGGGAGGGAGACAACAAGAAGAGATGGAGGGGGAGAGACAAAGAGAAACACCAACTGGTTGCCTCTGGTACACACCTGGTTGCCTTTGGTATGCACCCCGATGGTACGTACTCTGACCGGGGAACAAACCCAAAACTTGGGCATGTGCCCTGACTGGGAATAGAACTGGAGACCTTTTGGTGCATGGGACAATGCTCAAGAAACTGAATCACACCAGCCAGGACAACTTTCTTTTCTTTTTGAGCTGCTAAGTGTGGCCAGACAAAACTCATAATTGTTTATACTGATCCAACTACAAATTAATGGTCTCCAAATTGCATTAGGCCCTTCAAACTTTTGGACAATCCCGAGCAGATCTGCTTAGCTTCCCTTCCGATTTCCTTCAGCAACTACTCCAAACTTTTATGAAATATCCACCTCAACTCTCAACAAGTGATCTTACCTTCCACATCCCAAAGAAATAAACACTAGCAGCTGTTTTTCCCTCTGATGCACCAATAAACCTTTCTACAAAAAAGCTAGCCTCACAATCTTCTTCACATTCTCAGAAGTGCTGTCCTGTGGAGGGCCAAAATGTTTGTCCACCTGAGCACTCAATCTTCCTGTCGCTCCAGGACCTGCTCATCCACTGCTCTTCCAGTCAAGGTAGCTTTGGTCTCACAAAACCTTCTTCACATTCTGAGTACCTAATATCCAAATCCAGTATTTTTTAGTTTTCTTGACTTCTCTGCAGAATTTGCCTTGGTGATCATTCTGGCCACTTCTTTACAACTCTTTTTTAAAATCCTCATCTGAGGATATTTTCCATTCATTTTTTTTACTCTTTTTCCTTTTTTTCAACCCTCACCTGAGTATATTTTTCCACTGATTTTAGAGAGTGGAAGAGAGAGACAGAATTATTGATGTGAGAAACATACTGATTGGTTGACTTCTGCACAGGCCCTGACTAGGGCCTGGGCCAGGGAGGAGCCTGCAACAAGAGGTACCTGCCCTTGCCTGGAATTGAACCCAGGATCCTTTGGTCTGCAGGCTGAGGCGCTATCCACTGAGGAAAACTGGCTAGGGCTACTCTTTTAACTTCTGGGGGCTCCTCTCATTATGCTCTTACTCCCTTCAGCTCCACCAATTATCCACTTCTCCTGGGTTTTAAATATTAGTTTCCCCTGGATGCTATTTGACCTTGGCAATTTCAGCTATTCTTTTTGTTGTTGTTAGTCCTTACCCAAGGATATTTTTCCATTGATTTTCAGAGAGAATGTAAGAGAGGGGGGAGAGACAGAGAAACATTGATGTGAGAGAGACACATTGATTGGTTGCCTCCTGCACACTTCTGCACCCCCCATTGGCGGGTGGGTGGGAGGGGGGGATGGAGTCTGCAACTGAGGTACCTGCCCTTGATTAGAATTGAACACAGGATGCTTCAGTCTGCAGGCCAATGCTCTATCTACTGAGCCAGGGCAGCCATTTAAAAAAATATATATTTTTATTGATTTTAGAAAGATGGAGATAGAAACATCAATGATGAGAATCATTGATTGGCTGCCTCCTGCACACCCCATGGTGGGGATCTTGCCCTGATTGGGAATCGAACTGTGACCTCCTGGCTCAACTACTGAGCCATGCCAACTGGGCAGGGTAGCCATTCTTGACTAACTCCTAAATATCTTCAACTCAGACCTATGTTAAGTTCCCAATCATAATTTCAAGTTACCTACCAGACATATCCACCTGGATGTTTTCACTTATTAAGCAACCTAGTGTCTTCAATGTGTCAGCCACTGTCCTAGGTGCTAGGATAGAGCAATAAAATGATAGAATCCTCACCCATACAGACCTGACATTCTTGTTTAGCAGGT